TCTCATATTGAGAATATAGAAGTGTTCCTCTTGATCTTTTCACTTGAGGTGTTCCTTCATGAGCCACTTGCAGAGTGTCCCATATTTCCTTAGCCGTTGTACATCTTTGGATCCTACTGTACTCGTCTGGTCCTAGTCCACATACAAGCCACTTCTTGGCCTTAGCATTTTTCTCCCACTTCCTCAGGTCCTCAGCAGTGCAATCAGCCGTTGTCTTTGGCACATCAATTCCTTCAGCATTCTTCTTTGTGGTTGCTAGGGGACCATCAGTGACTATGTCCCAAAGTTCATAATCTTCCCCTATAATGTGATCTCTCATTCTGTTCTTCCACCAAGAATAGTACTGACCATTGAAAAGTGGAGGCCTGGCAGTGGATTGCCCTTCCCAGTTCCCAGGTGGTGCACTCATTGTTGATCTTCTCCTAAGGTGTTAGCCTCTTCAAGGATAACCTGCTCTGATACCAATTGATGTTCTACACGTCAATACCACACAAGAGGGGGGGGGGGTGATTTGTGTGGTACCTAATTTTCGCTCTAGAAGAACCTGGTTCTTCTAGGTATACTAACTATTACTGTTTGCGGAATTAAGAGTCCATAAAATAAAGAACACAGAGATTTTTACGTGGAAAACACCTGGCTCAAAAGGTGAAAAAAACCACGACCTACTACTCAATAGGATTTTCCCAAACTTCCACTAAAATTAGTGAGCCAAAACTGCATTTACAAAACTCTTGTAAACCTAAGGATTAAACTCTAATCCCAGTGTAGCACACAGCCTCAACTACTGCGAGACTTTCAAGTTAACTCTAACTTGAATACTCAAAGTACCTAATACAATTGCTTCTATGAAAGCTGAAAGGTACAATATGAAAACACCTACTACAATTGAACTAGAAATAAAGAAAGACACAATGGAATTGGTTCTTCACTCTGGTTCATGTAGCTTCAAGAATGCACACTTGAATCACACATAAATTGCTTGCAAAATCGCCTAGCTCTTTTGCTCTCAATTTAGTTTAACTTCTGCATATGTGCTACCCTGTAAAAGAGAACAATCATTATTATTTATAGAGTTAGTAATCAGAGTTTTATTGAGACTCAATTGCTGATCCTTTATCAAATTCGAGTCCTAGAACAATTCAAACTCCAATCCTTATTCTTGATCCGGATTTAGTTCTCTTCACACAAGGAGACTTCATCTCCTTGTCCTATGCAACCTTTTCGATCAACTCAGAAGATATTGTTGCTGATCCTTGATACTTATCTTCTCCACATGCCTCTCACATGTATAAGTATATTCACACTGTGTCTCACATGATGGACCTGGTCCATGACTGAGTTCATTTTGTCAATCTTCAAAACTTCATCTGAACTTGGGCCAACAAATTCCCCCTTTTTGATGATGACAAACTCTGTGCTTTTATTGATCAGAGAACCTGTGGAACTCAACTTAATTATCACACTTTAATTTAACTTATCATTAAGGACCAGGTTTAATCAGGTTATAAATATCACTTTATTTCATAATACAAAGTAAAGCACAATATCTCTTCCCCCTTTTGGCATCATCGAAAAGTTGCATATTATATGAATCCCAGATGTTAATTATTACTCATGGCCACTGGGGCAACTGCAAGTGAAAACATGATTCAGTTAATCAATAATCAACTTCACATAAAAAATTTAACTATTAAGATCAGAAGTTTCATAGAACAAGAGAAAACAAAGCACATTGTCATTGATTAGGAGGTGTTTCTACAAAACAGACCACAAAAAGAAAGAAAAACAAACATCCAACCATGAGCAAAAATAGAGAAAAGTCCCGAATCTGGGTCACTGAGGGGGTTTCTAAACTGGTTCAAAGAGAGAAACTGGAAAGCCTAGGGCTTGGAGGAACTGGAGGGTTGGGATTTAAGAAGGTTGAGCATTGTTTGGAGCATCCCTTCACTCTTTTCCTTTTCCTTTGCTAGCTCAGCTTTGAGGCCATTTCTCTCACTTTCTAGTTCAGCAATGCGAGCCTGGAGCCTAGCAATTTCTGCATCTTTTGTTCCACACTCTTGAACCAATGCCCTAACTTTGCTGTTCACAGGAGTCTTCAGAGATGAACCAGGTTCAACTGGGGTTACACTTAGCAGATAGTCACAGGCCTGCAGAGTTTTGATACCAAAATGCTCTTTGCTGGAGGCCATCTCCCACTTTTTCAGTGGAACATTCAACTTGTCCAAGACAGTTGTCAGTATAAACTCATAAGGAGTGGCATGGGCCTTGGAGCCATTGATGACTCTATCCAGCAACTTGACAATGAAAGCAGGCCAGTTAATCCGCTTTCCTCTCACAAGACACTCCAGAAGGACCAAGTCCATATAATTTGCAGTATGCCTTCTCTCCTGTCTGGGCAGCAAACATCTGTTCACAAACTCAAATAGCACCTTGTGCTCAGGCTTCATCTCACTTTTTGCACAAACCTTGCCTCAGGCACTTCTTCAGCAGACTTTGTATCACAGAAATTTCTGGTAATTTGGAGAGTAGAAGGGAGAGAATCTAGACAAGGCCACCTTTGCCTAGTATAGTCATCATAGCCCTGACAGGGTATGTCTAGAATTCTGCCCAATTTAGGTGCATCAGACTGCACCTCTACTCCCCTCACCAAACTGGTGACTACCCCATTCACCACAGTGGCATTTGCCATAAACTCGATCAGCTCTTTTCGTGCCAGCGTGCCATCCAATTGAAGAACTATGTCCTTCCACCCCTGTGCATCCAGGGCATCAACCAATCTTTTCATGCCTGGCTCCTCCAGGTCTTTCAGAATTCTTCCTTTCAAGATCTTTCTCCTGCCAAAAAGGACAAATCTGTCCTGTTCTTTTCAGATTCCTCTTCTTCTTCCTCTCCACTCCATTCTTCTTCTTCTTCAGGAACTTTCACTGGTTTCCTCTTGACTGCAGACCTGGTTCTTTTAGCCAGGGAGGGTTCAGCAGATACAGGTTCTGAAGACTTTCGTTGTAGAAGTCTTGTATCTTTTTGGTGTAGGAGTGGGAACCTCCTCAGTTGTACCTCTCTCCTGATGGACCAGTTCCACCTCCTCCTCCTCTTCTTCTGCAACTACAGAACTTTCCACAACTTTAGCTTTTCCCTTTTCCTTCTTCTTTTTCTTGCTTGCCTCTATGGCTTTCTGCAACTCAGCCTCACTTTGCTTTACCCTGCTTCTAATAGCCCTCACCTTTGGTACTGATGGGACAATAGACTATGGCCCATTTGTCCAACCTACCCGATAATTCGGGTTTGTGCAGGATACTCCTGAGAGGAAAGGTTGTCACCACCTTTATGGGGTGGCACTGAAAATATGGTCTAAGCTTTCGTGAAGCTACGACTAACGCTAGAGCCAGTTTTTCAATGTGGGGGTACCTTATTTCGGCATCAATTCAGGTTTCGCTGATATAGTAAATTGGAGATTGTGTACCTTTGTTTTTTCGGACTAGAACTGCACTTACTGCGACTTTGGATATGGCTAGGTAGACCGGGAGGCACTCGCCTGGATCTGCCTTGGCGAGTAAGGGTGGTGAAGACAAGTATGCTTTTAGTTTCCCTAGGGTGTCGACGCATTCTAAATTCCACTGAAGTCCATTGTCTTTCCTTAACACATTAAAGAATTTATGGCATCTATCCGATGACCGTGAGATGAACCTCGACAAGACGGCTATCCGTCCCGTTAATTTTTGTACCTGCTTTTTCCTGGTCAATGTTTCGGGTATTCCTTCGATGGCCTTAATCTGTTCTGGGTTGACCTCGATGCCTCTTTGTGATACCAGGAAACCGAGGAACTTTCCTGAACTACGCCGAAGGCACATTTTTCGGGGTTCAGTTTCATGCCGTATCGTCTTTATATGTCGAAGGCTTCCTTTAGATGATCAATATGATCTTTTTTCCTTTTCGACTTAACCGGCATGTCGTCGATGTAGAGTTCCATTATTTTACCGAGTTGGTTTTGAACATTTTGGTAACCAATCTCTGATACGTCGCTCCTGCATTCTTTAGTCCGAATGGCATAACCCTATAGCAGTATGTTCCTTGGTGAGTGATGAAAGTGGTTTTCTCCTGGTCTTCTTCTTCCATAAGGATCTGGTTGTAACCCGAGTAAGCATCCAAGAATCTTAGCAACTCGTGTCCTGCTGTTGCGTCGATGAGCTGGTAGATGTGTGGCAATGAAAAAGAATCTTTTGGACATGCCTTGTTTAGGTCCGTGAAACCTACACACATCCGCCACTTTCCGTTTTTCTTTTTCACCATGACCACATTAGTGACCCACTGAGGGTATTTTGACTCTCGGAAGAAGCCATTTGCGAGCAACTTATCGACTTCTTCGCTGACGGCTTCGTTAATCGCGGTGTTAAAATTCCTTCTTATTTGTCGTACTGACGGGTATAGGGGGGTCGATATTTAACTTGTGTATGGCGATATCGTTTGGGATACCTGCCATATTTGCATGGGAGAAGGCAAACAGATTGGTATGGTCAGTCAAGAACTTATGAAACTTACCTGGTTCCGAGATATTGTGCCCTATATAAGCCTTTTTTGTGTTGTCGTTGCCATTTAGTAGGACAGGATCAAAAATTTCTATCATTGACTCGGATGCTTCCACGATGTCGGGATCCTTTATAACGTCTGTCCGTATATCAAGTTTGGGTCCTGACATCGCTGATTGTTATGCTTCCGCATTTGCTCCTTTGAGTTGTTGGGTGTGCGCGCAATCTTGGGCGATGCGATAGCATTCTTGTGCGTTGCATTGCTTGCCCCGAATGCTAAATATTCCCCATGGGGTAGGAAATTTGATCACTTGATAGAGACTGGAAGGGACCGCTCGCATGGCGTGTATCCACGGGTGCCCTATGATGGCGTTGTAGGTTGTTTCCTGGTTCATGACGTGAAACTTTGTTTCCAGGGTGACTCCTCCAGCTAGGACGGGTAGCACTATCTCTCCAGAAATCCATTCAACTGCATTATTAAAACATGTTAGTGTTATGCAGAGCGGTATTATTTTGTCTTCGAGTCTCATCTACACGAGGACTCGAGGATGGATAATACACGCGCCGCTCCCGTAACCTGCCATTATTCTTTTTACATCAGTATATGCAATGCGTAAAGTTATAACAAGAGCATCATAGTGAGGGAAAGACAAACCGTCGGCATCTGACTAATCGAAGATGATACTATCTTCGAGGTCATCATACCTTTCATGGGTGGTTGATCGTTTGAGTTTATGTGTGGTGGTAAACTTGACATGATTTATTGTTGCGCCATCGCCCCCGCCGATGACCATCTGTATTGTGCAAGCGGGAGAAGGCGGTTTTGGAGGTCCCTGGGGCTGTTCGCGTCCGCGGGCGAAGTTAGGATCACTCAGCAACTCTTTCAGGTGTCCCTGGCTTAGCATTTGTACTACTTCATGTCTCAGTCCTATGCAATCTTCGGTTTTGTGATCCCTTTCTTGGTGAAATTTCGAGAAAGCGCTCGACTTCCGAGTGTTGGGGTCTGACCTCATCTTTTGCGGCCATTGCACCTTGGACCGAGTTTCTCTAGGGCGTACACTATTTCTGAAGGAGAAACACAAAAATTGTGAGAGGATATGAGTGGAGGCATACCTTTCTCGTATCGATATGGTGCCGTATATCAAGTAGGAGCATCCGTGTGCCGCGATTGAGGCAGGGCAGACGTCCTAACGTAGGGCTGATGCCTTTCCCGACTGAGGTGGGGCCCTACCCCAACCGATTCTTCGACCGTTGTTGCGGCGATCTTTCCTTGCTTCAGTTTGAAGTGACGTCAACCGTTGGTTCGGACCGTTGAGGTCGTCCTCGTCGGCTCGTACCTCGGCGCAGTAGGCGTTATGGATTTCTTCCCAAGTAGTTGGAGGGTATTTCATGAGCCTGCTCAGCAATTTCTGGTTGCTCTCGGCCCGTTTTTGTTTAATCCGTTCTGGAAGGATGCTACCACCATTCCTTCTGACACATTCGGCAAGATCATTCTCACCCTGTTGAACCGAGCTAAGAAGTCCCTGAGTCCCTCGCCGTGCATCTGTCTTACGGAAAATATATCATTTACCCTAGCTTCTGCTTTTTTGGCTCCTGCATGGGCGGTGACAAATTTGTCTGCCATTTCCTCGAACGTTGCTATCGAGCGTGCCGGTAGTTGAGAGTACCATGTCAAGGCTCCCCCTGTCAGGGTTTTGCCGAACTTTTTCAGCAACACCGATGGTACCTGCTCTTTTGAAAGATCGTTACCTTTTACGGCTGTAACATAGTGGATGATATTGTATTCTGGATCGGTGGTGCCATCATATCTCTTTAAGTAGGGCGGCATTTTGAAGGCCTTTAGAATGGCGTAGGGGGTCGCTTCTTCACTGTATGGTTGCTCGGTGAATCGACCAGCATCGCGTTTTGGCAACAACTTTGGAGCACCTGGTATTTTGTCAACCCTCTCGGTGTTCCTTCATTTGGTCACGGAGGGCCTCATTCTCATTTTCCATTTCCTCCATTTTCTTTAAAACGGCTGCAAGCGTATCATTGCCTTCGTCATTAGCAACATAAGTGTTACCTGTACGGAGGGCGTCTTGCTCATCAGCGTTTATCGTGACATATGCATGTGCAACATTCCTGTTATCCCTTTGGGCGGGCTTATCAAGTATTGTGTTCAGAGTACTTTTTAGCCATTCTTCCAGCAGTCTTCTTACTGCCGGTGGTGCCTCTCCTGTTGCAGATGTGGAGGCTTCCCTCTCGCGCGAAGCACTCACGCTTTCGTGCGGGGGAGGTGAAGCGTCTCCCGGGGTGTGGTGTTTGGTGTTTCATTTTCGTTATCCTCTATGCTATCTTCGTTGATAGTGTCAGGAGGTTGGTTGTGACGCCTACTATTGCTTTTTACCTTGCATCTCCTTTCCCTGCCATTGTTGGTTTGTACCAAGCTAGGAAGAGGTGATTATCCCTTTCAGGAGTCTAGATGAAACTAAAATCTTGGATAGAGAAATCCTTACAGATGGCACCAAATTGTTTGACCCAAAAGATATTGAAAACTTTATTATTAAATTAATTAAGGAAGATGAAGAGGTAAATCTCAGCCAAGTATAATAAACTCTAGATTGAAAGATGTAAGGGATGAACAAGATGAATAAGGCTTCTTAATATCTTGAAACCGAATGATTAAGCGCCAATATGATAATCTTGAATGTAGAAAGACATTGTAATGGATGCTCTTAGCCAAAGGTCCGTAAGATCCCCCTTTTACAAAATGTTTCCCCCACTTTATTTATAGGGGACAATCCCCCTTTTACCCTAATAAAGATACCACACAAGGAATATTCGAAAAGCATATTCCTACTGTTCCCTATCATGCTTACATTACTACCAATGCCGTGCGTTTACTCACGTTGTTGGTCGTCGCCCTTCATGCTGACCAAACGACGCGGCATCGAAAGGACCTCGTTCCTTGCTACACTCAGTAGTGGTCGTGGTTGTCCATGTATTGGGAAAAATTCAGTTCGTGTATGGAACTAAATATGAGGTGATATATCGTGACACGTGGAATAGTAGAAGAGTGACTGATTAGCAAAGGAAAAAGGCACGAGCTTCAACAGGCACAGGCAGATGAAGGACAAAGGCTCGTACCTATTGATATTCAGCAGTTATATCAGAAGAATGAACTTTTATAGTAAAAGCGGTACAAATACGTATTATTGGTAATTAATAGGCATTAATTACGGAAGGCGTTATGAAATTTGTAAAGAATCAGCTATGATTATCAATTATAACGTTACATTAATGCTATTAATTGTCATAAAGACTCTATTATGATAAAGGGAAAAAACGTATTACTTCGAGATAGCTATAAAAGGGGGAAGATTGAACATTTGTAAGGACACGAAAGACTATTGCAATATATTGATATATTTCGCTTTCTTCTGCTTGTTGAAGTCAATTTCTTTTAATCATTATATATTTAATTATCAGTAACCTGAGTTCTTCTAAAATAAAGCTTTGACCGAAATCCCAATTTTTGGTTAAACAAATTGGTTCCGTTACCGGGAATCTGATAATTTATTCCTTCCTACATTTATCTTTTTATTAAATCAATCATGTCGAATGTCAACGACAATAACAATCAAAGAGACCGTCAACTCCAGGAGAATTTTCAAGGAGATGGAACCCCTGTCCCTTCTCCACAAAGTTCTCCTCGACAATCTCGAGAAGGAACACCTGATGGATCTCAATCAAATGCTAATGATCAATTGGAAAACGATGAGGCTATCAACGAAGCTTTGAAAAAGTTAATCGCTCAACAGGTCAACAAAGCTCTTGAGGCTTTCGCTAGCCAGTTGCCGGCCGTACCACCAACACAAACTCCGAATAATAACTTTGGAAAACCCACGTTCTGGGCTCGTTAATTTAGGCAGTGGTGGAAGTCCCAGCGAATCTTGCGATGGCGAACCAGGTAACATAGTTAATTCTGATTTACAAAATTTAGTATTAACCTTGCAGAAACAGCTTAAGGAGTAAACGATCGCATAGAGCAAATACCTGGTGTACCGCCTGTAATCAAGGGAATAGATATGGATAAATATTCACAACAACCTTGGAAACCCAGTGCTGCTCCTCTATCGATTTCGAAGAAGTTCAAGATGACCGATATGACAACTGATCCACGAGACCACGTGACTGCATTCACCACTGGCGTAAAGGGCAACGATTTAACCAAACAAGAAATTGAATCAGTGCTGGTCAAAAAATTCGGTGAAACCCTCACTAAGGGAGCATTAACATGGTATTCTCTTTTGCCCAAAAATTCTATAAATTCTTTTGCTGAGCTTGCAGATTCATTCATTAAAGCACATTCGAGAGCTCAAAAAGTCGAAAAAAGAATGGAGGATATTTTCAAAATAAGGTAAGGAGATTCGGAGCTGCTCAGAGAATTCGTAGACAGATTCCAGCGTGAACGGATGACGTTGCCACGCGTACCTGATAACTGGGCAGCTATGGCATTTACCAGCAATCTAAATGAGATGAGTTCGGAGGCCACGAGACGACTAAAGGAAAGCCTGCAAGAATTTCCAGCAACAACCTGGAATGACGTTTACCACAGATACAGTACGAAGATGCGGATAGAAGAAGATACTATTACCCAGTTTCAAAAAGAAGAGAGGGTAAATTCAAGGCGTGCTGAAACTGAAAAAAGGTCCGGTAAAAATAGGTACGAGCCCTATATGGGACCAGCGGGAAGAGACTCACGAACGAAACAGGATAATTCTAGGTACGATCACAGGTCGAGAGACAGAGAGTCAGGCTCATCATCAATATTTAGTAAAGAACGAAATGCACGAGAGATGCGTGATGATGACAGAAGTTCTAAAGCGAAAATCGGCGGTTACGTTCTCAATGTAAGCACGTCTGAATTGGTGGTTGTTTTAAGAACGAAGGGTGACAAGGTACGCTGACTGAAAGAAATGAGATCAAACCCAAGTAGATGAAATCCTGATCATTGGTGCGAGTTTCATCACGATCACGGTCACAAAACGGCAGATTGTAGATTGCTACAGGGTTAAGTTGACCATCTGTTAAAGCAGGGATATCTTACTGAGTTGTTCGGCGAAAAAGGTAAACAAGATATATGAAAAACAGGCAGGAACCACCTAAACCTCCTTCACCAAAAGGACCGTTAACGTTATAAGCGGGGGAGAAGAAATTAATGGCGTGACATACACGACAACCAAGAAAATTTCAAAAGTTACAGTTACACACGGGAAGCGGGTCCGACATGTTTTGGAGGAGGAGAGTATTACATTTGATGAAGCAGATGCGGACGACGTGTTAACTCCACACAACAATGCACTGGTAATATCTCTACTTGTACATGATACTAATGTGAAACGAGTTTTGATTGATCCAGGTAGTTCCGTGAACATCATTTTGCTAAGAGTATTAAATGAGATGCAAGCCGAAGATAAGCTAGTACCTAAGGTACATACGTTATCTGGCTTTGACAATTCAAGCGTCGTGACAAAAGGGGAGGTAGTACTTACAACATTCGCACAGGGAGTTGTCAAAGATACAAAATTTCAGGAAGTGGAGATGGATATGGCTTACAATATGATTCTCGGGAGACCATGGATTCACGAAATGGATGATGTGCCATCTACCTTACATCAAGTCATTAAATTCCCATCACCATGGGGAATCCGTCAAATCCGTGGTGATCAACAGACGCCTAGGAGCATCAATTCCGTAGTAGATTCAGGAACAAAAAATGAAGAAAAATAGCAATTGCAGAATCCAGTTGAGGATACTACGATGCAAGCCTCAACTGAACATGGGCGAACAGATGTGGATTCAAGGCCCGACTCTATCTAAGAACCGGAAGAAAATAGAAACATCAAAACAACGATTGAGGAGTTGGAGGCTGTAGAACTATTCGCACAAAAGCCTGAAAGGAAAGTCTATATTGGGGCCAACTTGAACCACGAGATGAAAGGTAAGATAACTGAATTTTTGAGAACTAACG